AGGACAAATCTATAACAATGAATTGCCATATTGGTCTTCTTACTGAAAGTTTTCATATGAGCGTGAATTAAAGTGTATAGCATAGAGTAATTTGTTGAATTGTTTTCGAAAAGTATGACGTCCAACAATGATTTTACTCTAGCTTGAGTATCTAATGTTGTGTATGTAAAAAGGTTTGGCTTCTTGACAATCAATTAAGATGTATAAGCATATTTGTCATTGAGAGGGGTGCTGAATATAATTGTAGGGTACTCTAATTTAAGAACAGTGTGATTTGGCAAATAATTTATTTTCACTTCAGGAATGTACTTGTCAAAGGTGGTGACCTGCCCAATTCATCAGACGCCATTGATGTATTATTCGATGGTAAGGTTGAAGCCGTTAAATCTGAGATGCAGCTTCTTCCTTTCCCTTTTTTTTTTCTTTTTTTTTAAATTATTTTTCCTTCTCAAAGATGTATGCCCAAATTCATGTTTAAAATTAACTCCATCTCTAGGTCTTGAGTTTTGCAGGTGAGGGATTCTATGAGCTCTGTTCTTCACGTGTGAATACTCGCAACACTCATGGTACTGGCTGTACTCTGGCATCATGCATAGCTGCAGAACTGGCGAAAGGTTCCTCGGTACTTGAAGCTGTTAGGGTCAGTTTGTTAACCACTATATCCAGAGATATCGTATTTATTAATATTCTGTTTGTTTGACTTGTTGACCATTTATTTATGTTTGCACATGATCATAGTGACTTAGTGAGTCCATATTTAGCTTTGGAGTTGAATCTTAACCAAATAACGTTTGAGTGTACAGAATTTATTTTTGTCTTAATAAGCATGACTGTAACGATCTACTTTAACTTTCCAACATGTGATTGATTTACAAATGGTTTTCTTTTATACTTGCATGCTTTGTGTGGGTATGCTTTAAGGAGGGGGAATGGATATTTAGAATCAATTATTACGGAGAACTGGCATTTTTTTTTTTTAATGGCTTCACCTTGGTCTAAAACAGTATCGTCTGTAGCACAATTCCAGGTTAGTATGTTTTAGAATGTAGGAAATTTGAAGTCAGTATAATTCTCATCCGCTGATGCAATTAATGGGATTGTACCTTTCTATGAAAATTGTATTGTGAAGAATACAGTTGAACCCAGCCTTCAAGTTTCTAGGAATTCTCCATCCCCAGCTCTTGCAAGTGTTGTAGATGAAGATAGTTCATGTTAGTTTAATGAGGCCTTTGCAAGTTGTCCTCCCTGTGCTGGGGCAGTTACATGTTTGAATATAGCAAAATCCATGAAGTTCTTTCTTCCTCTTGGGTTGTGTCAGGTGGCTAAACATTTCATCGAGACTGCCTTGGATTACAGCAAAGACATTGTGATTGGAAATGGAGCCCAAGGCCCTTTTGATCATTTTTTTGCCTTTAAAAATGCCAATCAGAATTCTTGCAGACAGGATAAGTTCAATCCAAATGACTTACTGCTATATGCTGTAACGGATTCAGGCATGAACAGAAAGTGGGGCCGTTCCATTTCCGATGCTGTTAAAGCTGCTGTAGAAGGAGGCGCTACCATTGTTCAATTAAGGTTTGTCATCTAATGCTTGTAGTGTGCTTTACTTTTTGAGTCATATAATCACTGTGATACAGAAAAGTAGGTTCCTTCCCATCTTTATTTCGTAGTAGATATCATTGGCTATGGTTTAATATTCCCAGTCAACTATCCTAAAGATCTGGTAATCTGTGTGGAGTATAAATCATAAGGAAAATGTTCTTTTTTCTTTTTGGTCATGGATTCGTGAATTATGACCAAATACCTCTTGTTGTTTTGCCTATCCCTTCTGGACGGATGTAATTTCGGGTCTGAATAGTTGAACTTGAACAAAAAACAGCGGATCTTTATTCTTTGATCTATTGTCAGTATCCTTGTTGTTTTCAGCTTTCTTTTATCTTATCCCTAGTTTTGCTCTTTTATCCTCTCTTTTTCCCTCACTCACTCTTTGCGTGATTCACATCAAATATTTTCAGTCAAGGGAGTGCTTCTTAAGCTTTATATTATCTCCTTTTGGTATTGTTGAATTGCATATCATGTAGACAAGCTCACATATGCGATAATTTTTTCCACCAAGTCTCTTCATTTTTGCGAAGCATCATGTATGGATCTCATTCAGCCAATACTCCTATCCTCAAACGGTCCCTAGGTTCTGAATCGTACTTCTGGCTTTGCTTTGCCAACTTAAGAAGGTTGAGACGAATGTTTTCTAGCATCCCAATCACGTTGAAGTGCTTGTTGAGTCACTCTCATTGAAGTATCGTCTGTGATTCATGTTTGACTATTGTTTGTTTATCTCATGAACTTAGGAAGTTAGGTGTGGCCCAGAAAAAGAAAAGAAAAGAACACAGGTAGTTGGGGTAGTTGGGATAAAATTATATCTCATAGCACACTGCTTATTCTTTTACAGGGAAAAGCATGCCGAAACTAGAGAGTTCTTGGATGCAGCCAAAGCATGCCTTAAAATATGCCGTTCCTATGGGGTGCCTCTACTCATAAATGATCGCATTGATGTGGCCCTTGCTTGTGATGCCGATGGTGCTCATCTTGGTCAGTCTGACATGCCGGCACATGTTGCTCGAACTCTTCTTGGTCCTGAAAAGATAATCGGTGTATCATGCAAGACACCAGAGCAAGCCAAACAAGCATGGATTGATGGTGCTGATTACATTGGTAGTGGTGGTGTATATCCCACAACCACCAAGGAAAACAATAACACTATAGGTGTAGATGGGTTAAAAGAAGTATGCCTGGCTTCTAAACTGCCTGTGGTCGCAATTGGCGGCATTGGACCGTCGAATGCACGTGCTGTAATGGAAACCGGCATGCCAAATTTGAAGGGTGTTGCTGTTGTTTCAGCCCTATTTGACAGAGAGTGCATTCTGACAGAAGCCAAAAATTTGCACACTATATTAAGTAAGGCAGTGTTAAAGAAGAAATGAGCATAAGTTCTGCAAATATGGGAGCAATGCTTGCAGATTGAGATTTGCAATTTGTGCTCAGAGTTTGGATGGACGAAAGATTAGAAGAGTTTCAGTAGCTTCATTAATAGAAACATTGAATGGCAGATTCTTTGGACATGATTCTTTTAAAGTCAAGTATTCCTGCAAAGCTCAATACTCTGCAAAACAAAGCAGCACTAGGTTTTTTTTTATTTCGGAAAAATGACGCTTCGATACTAAAAGATAAATTTAATTACAGGAAGCCCATTTATTGATGAGGAAAAAAAAAAGCGTAAAATCTTTATAGTAATAACATTTCAGTCTTACTTTTATCGATGCTTTCATCAAAATGAAGGGATTGTTTCGTTGGATTCCAGGAAGCCCATTTCTAAGGAATCCAAATTGCTTTATCATATAGAATAAGTTTGATCATCCACCATCAACATTCCTTAGGAATCATTATTGCCACATTCATTAGAATCAATCAAACTCTGACCTTCCTCCTTGTGCCGAGGGAAAAAAAAATCCCCTTTAGCTTAGGTATTAATACATGCATGCAGATATATGAAGCATATGTGTGTGTACCTAAGATATATTAAAATAAAGTCGACATATATATGGTAAAATAAGATTTTAAATATATATGCGCTAAATTATAAAAATTTAAATAATATATAAATAAATGCAAATATAAAATACATTAAAATAAAGCCGACATATATATGGTAAAATAAGATTTTAAATATATATGTGCTAAATTATAAAAATTTAAATAATATATAAATACATGTAAAAAAAAATTTAGTATGTTTCGCACTACACATTTTTTATCAGATATGGTCAAATTTTCATTCAAAACAACAATAAAGAATAAATTTTGGATTGATGCGATTTAAAAAGTGAAAAACTCATCAAAATTTGGCAGATTTTACGGTTTTAAAAAAATGCATATAATGATTGTTACAAATTATATACCAGCAATTTTTTTAGTAATGATATTTAAACTCACACGTACGTGTTATGTGTTGTGTATTTACCTTTTTGACCAAACTTCATTAACAAAAAAAATTAGTAATTTACTTATTCTAATATAAATTTATTTTATACTTTCATGGATGCAAGTCAGAGCTAACAAACATTTTTGTTCTATTTGGGATCATGATTAAAAAAACTTATAAACACATTTTACATAAATTAAGATAAAACTAGTCTTACGTATTTATTTTGTATTTTGTAAATTATAATTAAATAACTACATATAAGTCATTTCAAACAGGCCTTTAACTCTCCAAAAATATAAGCAATATCAACGTTAAAATTTGGGTTCTTGGAAGTGCTCTATCATTTGAATTCTTGAAAGATACTTGTTTTGTTTTCCAAAAGATACATTTAGTAATTTACTTATGATTCTAATATAAATTTATTTTATACTTTCATGGATGCAAGTTAAAGCTAACCAACATTTTTGTCCTATTTGGGATCATGATTAAAATAACTTGCAAATACATTTCATCTAAGTCAGGACAAAACTAGTCTTGCGTATTTATTTTGTATTTTGTAAATCATAATTAAATAACTACATATAGGTCATTTCAAACAGGCCTTTAACTCTCCAAAAATATAAGCAGTATCAAGATTAAAATTTGGGTTCTTGGAAGTGCTCTATCATTTTAATTCTTGAAAGATACTTGTTTTGTTTTTCCAAAAGATACATCTATTTGATTCTGCTGTAGATTATGATAACGTCATGCTAATAGTGTCTTCTCATTACACAAAAAACTAAGATAAGAAATATTTATTACAAAGTAACTATATATTATTATTAACATTTTTAGTATATGAGCATTAAAGGCATTTCTCATCTTCAAAACTAACTTCTTAATTCTAATTTTCTTTTCTTTATGTTCCATTGCACTCTAGAAACAAAATATTCCCCAAACAAAACCAAAGGAAACAAGAATATCATACCCAAATATTACAAGTCCATGGCGAGAGGAACAAAGGTCAGAGAACAAAAGAGGAAAACAAATGAAACACACCTCCATTTTTATTTTCATACCCAAGATCACAAAGTCTGGTTTGCAACATGAAGTTACAAATCACAACCTTCTACAACACGAAAAATTTACAGTCATTTATTCAACTATGGGTCCTATGCAGAAAATCAAATTTTGTACAGAGGGGAAAACCCTCAACTTCAAGTTATCCATCCAGGAGCAATGGAAATAAAAAATCAAATTAACTATCTAACATCTTGAATATATTTTTAGCTTACATTAACATCGCCACTGGCCTGTGCCTCCTTGACTCTCTTTTCATCCTCCTTTCCCTCACCATTTGCCACCTCATTTGTTTTGTCTTCTTCTTCTCCTCCTTCACCTCCTTCCTCTCCCCAGCCAAACTCTCCGACTGACTTGGAATCAGAGGGTGGAGTTTTGGCCTCTTCAACAATTTTCATAATGTCTTCTGCACTCTGAAGAGAAAATGTTGGGTTTTCTTTCTTGTAGTAGACAGCTTGGGCTGCTTCTGTCAATTCCCTTGGCAGGTTCTTTAAAAACCATGGTTGGGACTTGATTTCTTTCATGTTTATTCGCTGCAATACAATTGTAATATGGTGTGAAAAAACAACTTATTTGCAGCAGTTCGCTGTTATATGGAAGGACAAACCTTTTCTCTAATAATAACATTTTTTCTGAATAAAAAACAATGTATAAATAAAAATAAAAGATACAACACACTAAACCCCTGTTTTACAGAATAGGAGCATCAATTTCTCCAATAATAACATAGCAAATGATAATGAAGAATGGGAAGAGAATTAGAAAGGTATTATTATTTATTTATCAATTAGGAACTAATAATAAGCATAAGAAATGCATATTCATAAGGATTAAAGATTAGGAACTGTTTTTTATTTTTTCCAATTGAAATTAACTATGTCGGATCTTGGAAGCTTATCACCAAAACCAAAGCAACAACAAGGTGCCCTACACATAGATTTGAACACGCGTCTTTATCAACTAAACCAACTCATTTTGACAAAAAATAATGTTTTAGTTGCTTTGGCTTATTCAAATGGTATAAATACATTTAACTGTGTTTATTAAAATTGAAATTTAATATTATCTTTTATGTTTAAATACTAGGAGTTATCTTTAAGTTCTAGATAAAGTCATTAGTCATTAGGGTTATGACTTCTGATTGTTTACTAAAGTTGAACATTTATAAAATAATTCACTTGACTTTCTTCCCCCCTTCCCTTTATTTCCTCAACATTTCCCTCCTTTATCTGTAATATTTACATTGTCCTACATCACATGTAGAGGAATTATTTTGGAAGACATAATGATGTTGTGTTGGGCAGTAAGAAATGCCCATTTAGTATATTTATATTGAAAAAACTAACAGCAAATAATTACAAGGGTTTTTTTTTTCATATATGAAACTACCCTGGATTTTCCTACTTCCTCACATGCCTCCCATGTCCGAATGAGATTTATTGTAGCTTGTCAAAACAGAGGGAAGATAAGTGTTAGTTTAAGGGGAGTACCAGGAGGCGGGGGTAATCTACCCAAAAAAAAGAAAAAAACCAAGTCAACCATAAGTAATTGCAATTATGAAAATACTAGAAGGGATATTACGTATTTCCTCATGCCATAGCTTGAGATTCACTTATTAAATAAACAAAACTAACATAAATGCATACCTTTGCTGGATTTGCAACAAAAATGCGCGATAGCAGATGCTTACAGTCTTGAGATATGTGCACGTATTCTGGGATCTTGTATTGAACAGACATAATCCGCTGGATAAGAATGTAGAGAATCAGCAAGAGTGCACATTACTTAATGTTATCAATAGGTAAAAATAAATGAAATATTACATTTATGGTTTTTCTGAAGTTCTTGGGATCTTCTGGGTCCTCAAACGGGTATGCTCCCACCAGCATCACATAAAGAGTTACTCCACAGGACCATACGTCAGCCAACTAAACAAGCAAGCAGAATAGAAGAACCTATCAAGCAACATTTACTCCTTCCAGGGCCCATTAAGGTCATGCATGGATGGAGAGAGACATTAATCATCATTGACAACATCATAAGTAATTAGCAATACGAATCTCCCCAGTTATATTAATAATAAAAAAAAAATATCCATCTTTTCCTATGCCAAACATGGATAGCTGATTATAATGCAAACACTGGAAATCATATGATCAAGTCAAAAGATTATAAGGAAATCATAACAATCATAGGCAACCAAAATAAAAGCCCTCTCCTTTATCTGGATAAATTTTGTGAGAACATTTGAACATCGCACCATTACGCACCCAGGCTTCAGTAAGTAACATAAATGTGATGAGCATCATAAGTTTCCAACCTGCTTTTTTCATGTATATTTTGCTCATGACATTGTACCAGTGAAATGTAGATTCAGAGTCATCAAACACCATGCACATCTACAAGTATTTGTAAGTCTGAACTCATTTTGCATACAATGTTGCTCGTTTCGTCTCATGCAAATAAAATATATTCACTCAAACGCAAGACACTTTGATTGCACATTGATTTCAGTGATGACAGCATCATACTCATAAAACTTCGTCACACAATGTCAAAACATTATATATGCGTAAACATATTAAAAGAGGAGGCTACGAGCTACAAACAGCCAACACATTTTTAATTCTTTACAATGGGGCTCACAGCAACGTATAAGCTTTTCATGTGTTTCATTCAATTTACTAGGGGCTGCTTACAAGCCACAAAGGATGGAAAGGGTGAAAAAATTGGGGCACAGACAATCCCTTGACGAAGTGGGAACACAAGAAGCATTATAAATGCCATAAAAGACGGTTTCAAGTGTTCAAAAAGTGAGTTCGCTATTTGATAGAAGTGCCTAAAGCAGATTTACACCTAAAATACCTCAAGAACTAAAACTATCTTGACATGAAAAATGCTAGACAGCGTCTACTTAAAAAAATAACATTCTAAATAACTATTTTCTTTCCTTTCATGATACCGGCAATAAGAAGGATATACCTTTTTCTTCCTTTGGACAAAAGAAACTCTTATCATCCATCATATTCCTACGTATATTTATATTTTATAAGAGGAATTCCATGTGTGTTTGTGTGAGTCCATGTGCCATGCAGGCATGTCAAAGCTCTCTGTCACGAACTAAATCTTCTGCATAACAGAAACTAGATACCTTTCCATCATATTCTCTACGTGAAAGAACCTCTGGTGCAATATAGGCTGGAGTTCCCACTGTTGATTTTGGCCTTGAATGAAGTAGAGATGACTATAAAAAATAAATCTGATCAGAAGTGGTTATGGTCCATTACACCCCAGTCACCCCTAGAACATTCAATGTTAATATCAAGCCATAATTAAACCTTAGAATAACCGAAATCACAAATTTTCAGACGCGGAGCAGGGCTGCCATCCAACAAGGTATTCTCCAGCTTCAAGTCTCGATGGCAGATTTGCTGCGAAGAAGGAAGATTACATAGAAAAATGACCAAAGAGATGAGGCAATGAAACAGAGTATTTGACACACTCTGATACGCACAATCAATTTAATAAATCTTATACCAAAGCATGGCAGTAGCTAACTCCTGAGATGAGCTGCTGGAAGAAATATCTAGCCTGAAATATTTCAGCGAATACAATAAGAATAAGAATTAAGAAACAAAATAATAACTCTTCCTGCATCTGGTTGCCAGCAGAAAGCCAGAGGAAGGTGAAAGATAAGTAGCTAGTCTTTGTCATTGGCATCAACAACAAGCAAGGAATGGCTCTCCATAAAGCTTAAGTACTAATTAAGCCTTCCCATTTAATAATTAGTAAAATTCTGTTACTTTGACTACTTCAAAATGTATTTCTTTGAGATTAGATACCAACTTTTCTCACACATACACAGATGCATACATATATTATTAAGCCTCTGCATTTTCAAAAGATTTGACGCTAACTTACCCTCTTAAATAACACCATAAGATTTTTAGTTGGATTTTTCATTAATAAATACAACATGAAAATCCACCGGCTGTTGGAAAACTGCAATTTTTCAGAACTAATTGTTACATGTCATGATTTATGAACCATTTGCTCTTATTCTTCAGGCTACCTTCCCTCATCAAACAATGGAAAATTATCATTTACGAATTGGAGCTCCACAATAATTACTTGGTCGTTTATAATTTATTAAAAACAGGGGAAAAACCTCATCTTCACTGAATCTTCCAGCGGTGCAAATTCGATCAAAAAGCTCTCCTCCAGCTGCATACTCCATGACTATTACAAGATGTGTCGGAGTCAGAAACACCTGCAAAACTGAAATCACATGTTACAAAACCTGGGGAAAAAAAAGTAGCAATCGAGTCCAGCCAATAGTCGTGGCCAAAAGAAGATATGTAGGCACAACCACACAAAGGTACTGACCTCCTTGAACCGTATTATGTTCGGGTGGCAAAGAGATCTATGGTTTATGATTTCCCTGGCTACATTTGCATCGATCTGGAAATATCAATACGAAAACACAAATCAAATCGGCACAGACAAGGGCGCATAGAAATGCAAAACAAAAAATGATACAATCACACGATGACATGCATCATGCACGTATTAACGTTACATTATCCTAATAACAAACTACTGGACTTGAAAAGGCATTGTATTTCCTCAGTTCTCTTGCATATCAACTGAACAATTCAATTCAAGTATAGAAATTGTACGTACCCTGTGACCTCGTTCAATGTATTTCATGGCAACAGGCTCCTTGGTTTCTTTATTTCGCATCAGCTTGGCCACCCCGAAATTCCCAGATCCTATGTCCTTCACTAGCTCGTACTTCTCCATTCCCTCTTTCTTCTCCTCGCTTCCTCAAAATTAAACGAAAATTCCGATTCCCGAACAGCAAACAAGATCAGAAAGCGCGAATAAGAGAAGAAAAACGAAAAATCTGAAATGGCAAATGGCAAATAAGGTACATCAAATGCTTTTGACAAAAAAATAAAAAAGGTGTAAAATTTGGGAGAGTTTCGAAGGCAAGCAAGGAAACGTGTGGGGAATTTGAAGGTGAAACTTCGATTTATTCCATCGAGGGAATGAGAATGAAAACAACTTTAACGCTCGCTTATGGGCACATTTTGCAGTGGAACGTGAGAAAGAGAAAGAAAGAGACAAATTATAATTAATAGTGTTTGCGTAAAATAATAAAAAATAAGAATAAAACTAAAAGTTTAGGGGAACAAACAAAAATTAAAAGAGGAAAGAATATCTCACTGCACCTTCGTCGACATGATAAAGCACAGGAGAATGATAATGACTGGAAATTCTCTGATCGTTTTGGGAAAAAAGTAAGCAATACCTCAGCTCCTAATATAAGATGTTATTTGATTTTTATTCTGATATTAAATATAAGATCCTGATTCACTTTATGTTTTTGTTTTTTAAATAGTCCTCGATAGTTCTAACTAATAAACTTAATTACCAAGGATATTTGAAAAAAGAAAACATATATTTATTATAAATAACTAATTTAACTTATTTTCTTAACTTACTCAAATTAGTTAACTAGTTTTTATATTTAAGACAAAAAATAGTAGCTTTTTTTTTTAAAACCGGAAGCAGAAGGAAAAAAAAATGGCAACGGCATATATCAACAAATATATTTATTTAATATATATATATATAACTATATGATTCTGGTGGCAAAAACGACTATATGATACTTCCCATATGATGAATAAGCCCCAATTTCCTTTAGAATTACATAGTATTCTTAATAAAAAAAATTAATTACTTATAGATCATAAGTAGATATAAATACAGATTTTTCATTTCTGGGGAAAAAAACAGGTTTTCATATATAAATAAAATTTAGATAATAATTAATCTTCTTATTTGGAACATGATTTTTTGACATCTCATATATTTAGTTATTTATGCAATTTTTTATAAATTATATATATTGATAATTGATAAATACTGTTTGTTGTATCATGTATGTATGAACCTTTACTGGATTGAGCCATGTTTTAGTATTGCCAAAGAAACATAATGAAAAATATTAATTTTTAAAAAAATGATTTTATCACCAACAACAAGTATAAATTATTCACATGTAAAATATAATTTTTTTAAAAAAAATAATTTCAGCCATGGCAAAAAAAATTCAGAATCAAAAGAATAAACACTCAGTTGTTTTTTTGATACAAGGAATGCTCAGTTGTTATACATTATTACTTTTTAACAAAATATCAGGTTATATAAAATAAAATTAAAATTTTAAACAGAATAAAAAATTGGAATCTTAAAAAAGCCTCCATGATAAGATTAAAAGTTTGGCAAGGGAATGCATACTTATTTTGTTTATACTCTTTCGGTCCTTAATATAAGACCCAATTCTTGAGTTGATTTTGGTCCTAAATATAAGACCCATTTCTCATATTTATCAATTTTTTCTAAATTACCCCTATGGATATTCCCTCAACCATAATCAAGTAGAAGAGGGAGAGGAGGTATTAAGAAAGATGATTATGGTGTTTTAGGAAAAATGTGTCACTTTTCTTATAATTAACTAACTTACCTAACTTCCTTAATCTAATCAAATTAGTTAAATGGGTTTTATATTAAGGAACAGAGGAATAATAAATTTCAAAGTAAGGTTAATTATAGATTCTAGATGCTAATGCGTTTTACAGTGCCACTTGTTTTTTTTAATGCAATATAATTAATTGTGTGATAATCAAATAGATTTTGCACACACAGTAGAGATTTATTAATAAAATAAATTATCATAATTGGATTATTAATGCTTCAATAATTCTCAATTATATTTTTACTTTATAAAATATAGCACTTAGGTTTAATGTAAAAATGTACAGCAAAAAAAAAATAGACATTCAAATTCCGCTTACATATTCACAAGCCATGGACAATATGCTTTCTTCTTTAGAATTGTTTTTGTATTATACATAAAAAAAATGCACAATTACATTATATCATATCTATATATATAAATATTATAAAATCAAATGAGTTTATAGTAGTGACCTTTTTTATTTATATTTAGGGCACAAATGTGATTCCCCCATATGAAGCATCACATAAAGAGTTTGGAAAAGACATTTTACCTTACCTCTCTTAAATATTCATATGTATTAGTTTTTTCAAAAATAAAATAAAATAATATATAGAAACTAAAATGCTTAATTTTTGTCCCTAAGGAGCTCTGAATTGTCATTGCAGTCATTTATAAAAGCATCCATTTAATATGCAAAGATGAAATGTGGTAGAAAATAATTTATAATGGAAATAAATATTTTTGTCCCCTATATTCCCTTTAAGAACAAGAGTACACTGAATGTTGCAAACCTTTATTTTTCTGCCAGCTATATCTTTCTCAAGTTTAAATGAAATAGGACTAAGTGATTAATATCCCCATGTGATAAATTGTGTCATACTAATATAAGACCTTATTTGATTTTTATTTTGGTCCTAAATATAAGATCCCAATCCATTTTGTCTCTCATATTTATATATTTTTTTTCCAAGATAATCCTTCTAAGAATGATAATTTTAGCTAACACACTTAATTACCAATGATATTTTAGGAAAGACAACATATATTTATTATAAATAACTAACTTAACTTGTTTTTCTTAATTTCCTCACATTAGTCAACTAGCTTTTATAATTAGGACCGGAGGTAGTATCTTTTAAATGATAATTGTTTTTTTTTTTTTAAAAGAAGAAACCAAGATATCTCTCAACCAAAACTGAATCGTGTCATGCGACAAGTAGAGCCTTCCTCAAGATCTCTTTTAACAAGTAAAGTCCGCCCACATAAAGCCTGGCTAGTCACTACCAAACCAAGAACACTTGAATATAATTGTTTCAGCATGTGATTCTAAATTCTAATCAATCTCACATTTTGGTCTAAAAGCATCCATTTGGTTAATTTTAAGGGCAACTGATTAAAAAAATTTGCAAAAGCAACACTTTATTCTTACAAATTTATGCAGACATATTATGCCATTAACCCTATATCCCTTCTAGGCTACTGTATAACAATATTATGTTACATAAGGACAAATAATGAAACAAACAAATTCTGGTAAATATGGTAAATGAGATAATTTTCAAGTATTAAATAACAAAAATACTTAAACTTATTTTAAGTATTTAATTAAAATGTTTTAATTAATTTTTTATTAAGTATTAAATTTATTCTTTGAACATCAGGTTAATATTTGATTATGAAGTGGTTCTTATGTCCTTGTGATCATCCACGTGGATCATTTCTTAGTTTTCTCATCAAGATAATCACATTTCTCTCGATTTTTACAGGTCCACTGGTTCTCCATTTTTAACTCTTTCATGATGGTCATGATTTGGAAACTCTGCTAGTGCTTAATTGTTGCTTGTCTGTTATCCTTTGTTTCTTCGAATTGTCTTTTAAGTCAACATTCATGTATTTGGTCGAAGCTGAGTGAACTTGTAAGCATTAGTGGTTTTTTTGCTGTGAACACATTTGTCTTATTACCCTTTCCTTTGTGACGAACAGGTGTACTGCGTCTCTGGCTTCATGCTGCTGGTTTTCCTCATTCTCATCATTGTTGCCGTTTGGGTGACGATTGTGAGGACATACTTCTTGTTGAATGCTGAGAACTACCACTAGGCCTATGTGTATTAGTACTCAGTACATTACTACTATGTGAAGACAAGGATGTCAGGCTTCTTCCAGACTAGTTTCTACTACCTTCAGTTTTAAATATAAGAGCTAGTTGACTAATTTGAGTAGATTAAGGAAATAAGTTAAGTTAGTTATTTGTAATAAATAGGTATTGTCTTTCGTAAAATATCTTTGCTAATCAAATTTATTGGCTATAACTACTATTATTAGAATGATTGTTTTGGGAAAAAAAATAAATATGAAAAACAAAATGAATTGAGGTCTTATGTTTATGACTAAAATAAAAATAAAATAAGACCTTATATTAAGAACCAGAGGTAGTATTTTGGATACACCTTGATGTTTTGTCTCAGTCTAGGAATCCTATGTGGTAAGTTTTCACCTTTCAGTCCAAGCTAACATGATATCTATAATACTGACTGTCCTTTTCTTACCGTGCACAATTGGCTTTAAATCTTGCTCCTCCAAGTGTGCAGGGGCTGTTGGTTATCTCGGTTCGCATTTGTTCGTCAGGAGGATTAATAGAAACATTAAATGCGATTAGGGATTTTTCAGTGAGATGAGACCTAGCACTTCTTGTTAAGTTTGTTTATGGAGACTAAATTTTGACGAAGCCTCTGGCCTTGTGTAAGGGGCCAAAAAAGGGTTAAAAGTAGATTCACTGGGTTTTGAGTATGAGGTGATGTATCCTTTCTTTTTTGGATTGGGGAAGCCTTGAATATTTTTCCCCCCGGCTGTAATGGTAGAGCCATAAATTAGAATGCAAGAATATTGTCTTTGTAATCTGAATAGAAAGCAAAAATATTATACTTTTGTTCTACCTGGAAAGCTTAAAAAAAGAAACAAAAAACCTCTGTTGCATTTTCACCCCTCTCTATAGCCCCATTGAAGCTCTTATGTCTCATTCAATCTTAATTACTTGGTTTTGGCTACCCAATCATTGTACGCAGAGAGGATGAAATCTCGGGAATGAATTTTGTACTATGATTATCGTATCATTCCAATCTGAGTCCCTAGCAGTTCTTAAATGTTTATTTTTCAAGTTCTTTTTGTTCTGCATTCTTCCTTTCTGGCTGTAAATTTATTCGTTTTCCAATTCAAACATGGAATGTGGATTGATTATTGTCATTTCTTTGTTTTCCTTCATTTTCCTGGATTTTCTCTTAACTAGGGGTGACAATTATAGCATGTGCATGGCATGGATCGTAACAAATTCTCCGAAGGATGTATTTGGGACTGAAGAGTTGTTATAAATACAATGCATAATATTCTTTTCAGAAAAAGAGAAAATTTATTCAGTTTTTTCTTGTCATCTGTCATGAACGGAATCAATATCAATGGAGCTGGATCTAGTGAAAGGCCTAACCCTTCATAATATAGTGAATTAAAATTTGAATGCAC